GGAAGGTCCCAGCTGGCAGCCAGAAGGCCCTGATCAGCCCTGAAGCCCTGATCTCAAGCCAGGCCTAGGTATTCTACTGGGCTCTAATTTCATGCACCGGGCCTCTAGTGTGTGTGTGTGTGTGGGTGGGTGTGTGTATGTATGCAACCAGATGATCACAGATAATAGTGAAACCTAGATTTGGGAAAACTGTTCGAACAGTTTCTAAATTGTTACAATGAGGTCCAAGGGAATAGATATATCCACTATCAGTCATCGGGGGAAGAGATGAGTCCTGGGGAAGGAAATGCAGACGGAAGCCCAGAAGGCTTGGGCTCTGAGAGGCGACAAGACCAGAGTGACTTGTGGTGGAGGGGAGCTGGCTATGTCATATAAAGACACTGCCCCTACTTTGTTGGTGGTGGTGCCATCGACAACGGGGCAGAGAAGTAGACAGTGCTGGAGAGGCAGAATCAAGAGTGACAATGTGAAGTCATCCAGTGTGGACTAACACAGGATGTGAGAAAAGCCAGGTCCCTCCCCAGTGGGTTGGGGCACACATCACTTGCTCATCCAGCCTAGTGATGTCACCGAGAACCACCAACCCCAGAAGCAGCAGTGTAGCAGCATGCAGAGGCCTCAGGGCTCTGTCCCCAGGTGCCCGGGAGGCAGAACAGTGGGGAGCCCCTCAGGGAGGGGGCAGGACCACCTTGAGAGAGCTTTGCTTCCAGCCTTATGGCTCTGAACCTTGTGTCACAGTAATTGGGCAAAATCAACAAACAAATATGGAGAAGTAATGATCAAGCGTGAAATTAGCCACAAGGTGCATTAGAACATTCAAGCTGAAGTAGACTTAGATGCACGTAGATGTAACCCGTCTGGGGTGGAGGGAAAGCAGGCATGACTGAAAAGCAGAACAAAAACCTCACGTACAGAGGGGTTAAAGATAGAGCAGCTTAACTCCAACAGGTGCTCATCAGCCCGTAATGAACGTTAAACATCTAGTTTAGGGGTGTCGAACTCAATCAGAGAAGGGGCCAAAATCTAAAATCCAGCCTAAATCGCGGGCCGAATGGTTTACTGAACAGTCATAAACTGTCATTGTGATGGAAACGCAGCGGAGTGCAGTGATGACAGCGCGGTGCGGGCCACATTGCAAGGCCTGGCGGGACGGATTTGGCCCGCGGGCCTTGTGTTTGACACATGTGATCTAGTTCTTTGATAACGTTGGATCCTAATAGCATATTTTGCTTTGCTCACCCTTGAAATAAAGGACATAGCCTTGGGTTATTGTGAAGAAAGGGCTTGGAGAACGAACAAGCTCTCCCAGGACCCCACCTCCCTCCCAGATCACAATGACCCAGAAACACAGGGAAGTGAGAGCACAGGCCTCCCAGACCTGAAAGGGGGACAGTTCTAGGTACTGACTCATGGGAGGCAGCTGCCCCAAGGGATGAGCTGCATGGAAACCTGGTGGGTTAAAAGGCAGAACAGCAACAAAAAAGAATGGTGTAAGATGTGTATAAATATCCTTTATAACAAAAGCCTAATATGCAAATTGTCCCCTTGGGCTGTTGTTCGACCAGGAGTTTGACCAGGAGATCAGGAGTTAGACCACTCACTATGACATGTACTGACCACTAGGGGGCAGTGCAGAACATGATGAGCTTTGGCGATGTGGCTCTGGCAGGGGACAGCAGTGGAGGAGCTGCCAACCCTGGTGTGCTCTGACGAGTGGTGGGACCACAGTGGAATGGTGGAACAGGTGAGGGGATGGCACCCAGGCCAACGTGGGGTGCCAGGCAAGGCTGCAGGGCTGCAAGGCTGGGGGCACGAACCAGGGCCTGATTCCCACAGGCCACCTTGAGGGACCCCACCCATGCACAAATTCAAGCATTGGTCCTCTAGGGTAATATATGTGTCTTAAACTTTATGAAAATGTCTTGGGTCCACAAATCTTTTTTCCTCCTCTGACGTGATTACTGGTCAGTAGAAATAAGTCACTTTCTGGTGCCTCACCTTACCTTCTCATTCCATCTACTTATCTCTGCAAGAACTGTTCTTAGAATAGGTGTGGGCAGTGCCATCCCTTAAAGGCACAGTGACTAAATCAGGATTGTTAACGATCATGATGCCCTTTGCTCCAGCCAAACTTCTCTATTTTTGCTTACCAAGAAGAGGTAAGACCATCCAGAGGAGGAAAGAAAGAGCAATTGTCAGCAAAAAGGTAATGCAACTCCATGTTATTGGCTCAAGCCAATGACACATCAGTAAAATGGAAATTATTGTTCTGAACTAGAGTAATGAGTTTTTCAATGAAGAGGTGCCTTTTAGATAAGCTAGACCAATGCCATCATCCTACATAATAAAAGAATAATATGCAAATCAACCAAATGGTGGAACAACTGGTCGCTATGATGCACTTGATCACCAGAGGGCAGATACTCAGCACAGGAGCTGCCCTCTGGTGGTCAGTGCACTCCCACAGGGAGACTGCTTCCCAGGCCTAAGCCTTCAATCGGACATCCCCTGAGGGCTCCCAAGCTGCAAGAGGGCACAAGCAGGGCTGAGGGACCCCCAAAGTGCACAAATTTCATGAACTGGGCCTCTAATTTTAAAGATAAGCAAAGGAAGACCAGAGAAACCTTCCCAAGCACACATGACTGGTTAATGGCAAAGCCGGGACCAGAATTCAAGTCAGCTTTTCATGGGAGATTTAGAAAATATTCAGACAAGCAGACTACTAGGGACCATAATACATGAACTCACAACACATGTGAAGAAACTAAAGCTTTTTAATCTAGAAAGGGGATGACTCAGAGACATAGTAACTAGTTTCAAATACATGGAGGACTGGCAAGTAGAAAAGGGCTTGACCTTGTTCTGTTGGTCAAGGAAACAGGAAAGCTCCTGAAGAAGTAAGAAAGACTAGTGAGAAAGACTAGCAGTTCAGAATAAGATAAAACTATTTAAACAGTCAAGACTTGCCAGAAGAATTTTTTGGGGAAAGAATAAGCTTTCTGTCATCTGCGGCACTTCAGAAAAGACTGGAAGGTAATGTTTTTGTCCACTGAGAGGCATGGAGTGAGGAGTATGGAAGAGAGAATTCAGGCATGAAAATCATTAGGATGGGGTGACCTTTAAGAGTATGTGATTCTTTACAACCTGGGACCAAATAAGGTTTTATTCCTGACTCTGAACTCTAAAACCTATCTTCCCATCTGTTTGCAATAGTTTAAATTTTAATCTATTTCCTATTTCAGGGTATTATGCCCTGAATATTTGATTTGGATGCTGTGGCAGAAGGTTACTCATATTCATTTATTTTCTTTTACTCTTATACACTTGCAGTGAGTCTTTTGAATTCATTATGCAAATGCATGCAAATAATATGCAAATGCAGTGGCCTCAGAAAATGACAAAACCTTAACTGAGCTATCAAACCTTTCTCTGAGAAGGAAAGTAATACGCCTCTTCAATGTCTCTGGGACAGGAGACAATTTCCTGAGTGATATTTAAATGACATTGGAAGTGGTTACTCAGAGGAGTCTTTTCCTCACATGCTTCATATTTATGTAGGGCTTTAAGGGTAAGAAAGCACTGTCATGTAAGCTGTCTCTCTTGAGTCTCATAATTACCCTTTGATGTCAGCAGAACAGGAGTTGGACTTCCTGTTCTATTTTTCAGGTGGAAAATTGAACAGTAAGTGACTTGCCCAAGTTCTCCAGGTTGATAAACGATGGCTCTGGACCTCTTCTAGTCCAGACTCCGCCCATTACACCACAATGCATGCCTTCCCTAAAGCAAGGCTGTCTGTCATCAGTCTGGGTTTGCTTAGGCCACGTTCTGCCAAAAACACCTTTTGCTTCCTTAAGCTCTGGAGAGTAAAAGCACATTCTCTGCAGTGAGACTGGATCTAAGCCTTAATCCACCACGTTCTAGCTGGGCTTGGAGAGGTCATTTCATTTCTCTAAGCACCCATTTCTCCATCTATAAAATGGGCCACATAAAAACACCTCTTTGATAGAATATGTGACAAGGAGACACACAAAGGGACAAAACAATACCCCCGCCCAGTGACTGACACATAGTGAGTGCTCAATAAATGGCACATACCATCATTATTGTCCTAGAGGTAGTAACACAGAACTGGGAATACTGGTAGTAGCATCTCAAGTCGCTATGACTCTGATGCTAACAATTGGGCTCTCAGAAAAATAATGGGAGAACACTGATGCTAAATATCTCCTCTAGGCCAGAGGGTTGGAGAAAAGACAAGGTTTGAGGCAGCTAAATCCAGCCCAGTGAAAAATGCTTGAACTTTCACTTTCTTTAACCACTACCACATCTTGCACCATAATGGGTGGTTTTCCAATCCTGCTTCAATGCGATTTCTCATGGCATCCTCAACTCCGCTCTCTCTTAGCCAGCCTGCGGGGGAAGCAGAGTCCTCTGCAGAGTCAGGTTGGCAGGGAACACGAGGGGATTCCACTGAGACAACAGGCCTGAGCCACCAGGTCAGGGATGGGTCTGTCCTCCTCTGTCCACCAGAGGTGGGTATTGATGAGGTGGCTACGCAGCGCTACACTCGCTTTCTAGGATGACCTGGCCCTCTTGCTCCAGATCCCAGCTCCAGCAGCACCACCTCTGGGCTCAGTCCTTCCATCGGGCCCGCAGGGTGCCTGCCCGGCCAGCACCTATCCCGGCCACTCACCTAGGACTACCAACCCAGTGGCCTCTTTCGTGAGGACACTGTCTGTGTCCACAGCCTCTCTGGGGGCCAGGGACGCAAGACGTTGGAGTTAGCCAAACCCTTGAAGACAGCCTAAGTCCATAGAAACCGTCCCACTGAGAGTCAGCGTGACCAGCTCGAGAGGGCTGCACGAGTGCATTGCCAGGAAGTGCACTGGGCCACACCAGGGCTGGGTCTCAGCTATTTTTGGCAAGGGTGGGTGGTATGTAAAGGGACTTCCCTTTTCTGCAGCACAGAGCCACTGGACACTGAGCAGTCGTTGTTCGGAGATCACCTTTCTCTGGTGGCCGTTTACCAAGGCCGTCACAGCCTGACTGATTTCTCAGCTCCAGTGCTAGACAGGCTCACCACATTGGGGTGGCACCAGTCCCGGGATGGCGCTCCCTGTCAGCTGCCTCCTGGTGGCCATGCTGTTTTCTGCCAGCTGTAAAGCCACCACCTTCTCAGATCAGACGTGCACGGAGGTGAGTCCCAACTTTCTGTCTTTATCCAGATTAAATGGCCTGGAAATTCTGAGCTTCAGTCTGCAGTCCCATCTGAGCCTTGGCAGCCCAATATCCACTGTTTTCTAAGGGCAATGAGGGGTGTAGAATTTTATTTATTTATTATTATTATTATTATTATTATTATTATTATTATTATATTGTGAAGAAGGAGTCAAGAGCTCAGCCAGGGGATGATCTCGCAGATCCTTAGCAGGAAGAACTGAGAGTCTTCCTCCTCTGCAAACAATGCCCCCCAAATCACCCTAATTGGGACATAAAATGTTGACAGGGACCCAGTGCAAAGAGCAGACCTACACACCTGCTCCCAGCACGGAGGAGCTATTTGCCCAACATCCCCGCACATGGCCACTACTGCAAACAGGCCTTCGGTTTCCTGGCCCTCGGGTAGGGATTAGTAGGGATAACCCATGCCAGGTTTCAGAGCATATGAAGATCACTCCGGATGAGTCTGGCATTCTCCCCGGGTTGGACCGCCCTCCATCTGCTCTCCTCACCCACCAGAGTGGCATCGGAGAACAGAGCCAAATCGCACCTTCTGTTTTGGACCATCACAATATTTATCAACCTGTGGGACATTCTTGGAGGAGGTGGTAAGAGAGAGCAAGAAGGGCCTCAGTCTCCTGCCATCTTCTAAAGCGTTCAAGCTGCCTCCCACTGCCTCTGATCCCAGCAAGGGTACAGCACCACGTGGCCGGGCGGACAAGGGCTGGGGCTAGAAGCGGAAGTGGAGGTAGGAGAAGTAGAAAGGTGGTTGGGAGCCCCGGGCAGGAGAATGATAAGGGTGAACAGGGAACAGACCTGCCAGGCAAGAGGAAGGACTGGGACAGAAAGGAACAACCTGTGAGTCTGATATCAGGATGGAATCAGGATGCACTAAGACTGAGAGGAGACACTAGGGGAAATGAAGGCTGGGAAAGTGGCTGACTTTGTTCTGGCTGTCATAGCATGTGGGTAAAATAAACTGGGAGGCTAAAACAAAAGAATCATTTTTCTCACAGTTCTGAGAGTTAATAATCCAAGATCAAGGTGTCAGCAGGATTGGTTTCTTCCAAGATCTCTCTCCTTGGCTTGTTGATGGCTGTCTTTTACCTGTGTCTTCACCTAGTCTTCCCTCTGCACACGCCTGTCTCCACATGTATTCTTCTAAAAATAGCAGTCACATTGGGTTAGCACCCACACAAATGACCTCATCTTAATTTAATTACCTATTTAAAGAGTCTATATCCAAATAAAGTCATATTCTGAGCGACCTTGTTAGGAATTCAACATACAAATTTTCACAGGGGAGGAGGGTGCACAATTCATCCCCTAGCAGAAGGAAGTAAGTTTTTATTAGCCCCAGAAGCTCTTGCCCCTGTCTCCTCCTCATTCTGGTTGGAAGGTCAGGTTCACACAGACATGTAGGTAGCATGATAAGAGGATAGAGGTGGGGACACCACCTCCTCAGTGATCAGGGAGGTATGCCATCCACCTCTGACAACATCCTCACATAGGATGGTATCACCAATACATTCCAGCTCCCGGGGGAGCAGATTTGTTTAATCATTACTCTTAAGCCTGTCCATTCAACTAGTAAATTCCCACGTTCCTGCAAAACCTCACCAGCCCTTCTGAAGCTCACAAGGGAGTCCTGGGAGATTGGGAAGCTCTTGGAAACACTAGACCAGTCTAGCTTCCTAGTGAGGACATCAGGCCAAGAGCTGGCAGTTCCTTTCTGCAAATGACCCTTGCTGGCAGAGAGAAGGGAAAGAGGCAAGGCAAGCACCCTGGTCCATTTGCTGCTGGCTCTGGGGCCTTCTGAGATATTCAGGTGGCAAGAGTGATGCTGAGGGTCCCAGGATCTTCAGGCCTGGCCTATGCTGCAGCGAGCTTTCCCTTTTGGCTAAGTTTCTATTGACGCCTTTCAATACAACAACCTCCGTACAGCCCTCCCTCTGTAATAACCTGGGTTTAGATGCCCTGGGACCTATTCTATTAACATTGGATCTACATTTTCCTGGACCTCCTTTCCTGTATGAGTTCTTGGCTGCAGGGTTCAAAGACTGTGTATCGAGCCCTCATGCTGTGTGAGTACTGGGGAGGTTAATGGGAGGCACAAAGAAGGGTGAGTCATTGCAGCAGCAAAAGGAGAGCTTGCCTTAGAGTCAGGCCTGGAGAAGGCAGGCACTTCTAGGCTACAGGCATATAGGATAAAAGTGGGAATGGTGGGAGATGAAGCTTTGACTTAGAGATTGGCCCCTCTTCAAGCACGAATGGCCCCTATTAGTTTCCCCACCCCCACTCCTGCCCCATCTTGCTTTCCTTTCCTCTTCAGTTCTTCCCCTCTAGCCTAAGCATAACTAACCATGCCATGTATATATGTTCATGTGACACCATTAGCTCATCAAGCTCTCTTTAAAAAACAAGGTTTTGTTTTGGGTTTAGTGACATTGGTTAATAAAATTATATACGTTTCAGGTTCCTAGTGGTGAGCAGAAATCCTTAATTTTAACGTAGCTGGATTTATTATTGGTGCTGTTCTTTCAGTGCCTTTCTGTCCTGTTTAAGAAAATTTTGTCTACTCAAGGCCATGAAGATATATTATCCTGTGTTTTTTTTCTAGGAGTTTTATTTTGTATTTACACCTATTTCTACGTTTCATATTTAGATCTAAGATCCATCTGAAATTACTTTTTGACTATGAAGTGAGGAAAGAGTCAAAGAGAATTTTTTAATAACATTTTCTGTTTGAAAATATTTTAAATTTAGATAAGTTCTAGAAATAATATAGTGAACACCTATCAATACTCCATATAGAATCTTCCATTGCTAAATACCATATGTTCTTTCTCTGTGTGTGTGTGTGTGTTAGAAAGAGAGAGAGAGAAAGAGAGAGAGAGAGAGAGAGAGAGAGAGAGAGAGAGAGAGAGAGAGAGAGACATGAGTAACAAAATTAGACCCATGATCAAGTCTTTGGAGGCTGACAAATATGTGAAGCTAGCTGGAATTCAGTGTTCTGTGATTTGGATTCTGGTGACATTTTAGATGTGCTCTTGACTAATGACTTGGGAGTGTAGGCATGCCTCCTCATTTCAAATGGGCTCATCTCAACTGTTTTGTGCATTCAAAACCATGGTAGAAGACAGTCCTTCAATCTTAGGTATGAGGAGGAGGGAGTGTGCTTAGTAGAGCTTCTTTTTAAGACAACTCCAAGTTCATGGATACAAAGCCTTCCTAATAGCTCCAAACAATGACATGATGCTGTGATGATCCAGTGAAATACTAACTCCTCTTGGGAGTGCTAGACATATATTATTCAATTAATCCTCAGAGTTGGCCTGCAAAGAGGGTTATTGTCCTCCATTTACAGTTGGAGGGAAATGAGGCTCAGAGAACACAGTTTGGGACTTGTACCCAGGCGGTCTGACTGCAGACAAACAGAATATAAACTGCACACAATGGCAATGCCCTTTGCTCAGAGGACTCAGAATGATAACGTTTTAGGATGGTGCCCTCTTGGGAATTTTTATTTGCAGAGAGTAATTGTTACTCTAGGATTTGGCTCAGCCAAATTGCTATCTCTGGATAAAGGAGTGGTTAATGGGGGCAGGCTGGGGTTCAGCCTCCCAGACTTCTTTTGCATGGAGGGCAGGGGTTGCTGTATGTGCCAAGCACAGATGAGCCACCCATAAAGGTGGGAATTGGTACTAGAGTGAAATGCAAAGGATCTAAATTAGAAAATGATTTCAACACTTGTGAGAAGAGAAAATACAATGGGACCAGCAGGGAGTTAGAGATACAGCAGAAAGAAGCAAAATAAGATCCTGATTGAAAAAATGCAAATGAATGCCTGCAGGAAAAAGGGATTGCAAGCACAGATACAACATGTGGGAGCCCTGCTCTGTGTAAAAGGCACGGCTCTGACAAGAAGCTGGAGACAAAGTGGTTGGTGCAGGTCCCGGTGCACAGTGGTCCTGAGTAAATGCCCGTGATGTGGAATTGGGGGTGCCAGAGGCAGCTGTCCTCAATACCATCTAGCCTTGCATGGGCCTGCTAACTGCATTCACATCCAGAAAGGTACTATCTGAGGTGGAACCAACCAAAGCAAGGGTGAGAAAGTGGCTTTGGAAACTGACCCCATATATGTAGATCTAGAGAATTAGGCTGCGTTTGGAGGAAGTGGTCATGTCTTCGGAGTGGTGGTTAGTGTCTGTCTGGGAAAGCAACTGAACCCATTGCCCTGGTAGCAGGCCCAGCCCTGAGCAAAATAGCATGGCCACACTGTATTTCTTCTCCGCAGTCTGTCCTTTTCTTCTCTGTTGCATTATTATCCTGCTGTCCTAAAATCCTCTGCCATGCTTTCAGAATGTGCTCTCAAAAAGTTTTAATATGAGCTCTGGCTGGTGGTGTTCAATGGTTAGAGCATAGGCCTGCAAATCGGAGGGTTGTGGATTTGCTTCCCCACCCTCAGTCTAGGCCTGTGTGGAAGGCAACCAATGTGTCTCTCTCACATTGATGTTTCATGTCTCTCTCTCTCTCTCTCTCTCTCTCTCTCTCTCTCTCTCTCTCTCTCTCTCTCTCTCTCCCCCCCCCCCACTTTCTCCCACATTCCCTCTCTCCCTCTCTCCCTCTTGCTTTCCCTCTCTGTCCCTCTCTTCCATTCTCTCTGAAAATCAATGGAAAAAAATATCCTCAGGTGAGGATTAAAAAAAAAAAAAGTTTTGGTATGAATCCTGAAATACATAACTTCCCTGATGAAGTGTTTCTATCCAAAATGTATAACCTATAACCTGATTCAAATCATGGGGACAGGGGAGAAAAAACAAACAAACAAACAAACAAACAAAAAAACATAAATAAAAAAACTAAATGAGGGACATCCTGTAAACTATGAGTGTGTATCCATTTAAAAAAAATCAATTTCATGAGAGATAATGAAAGACTGAGGGATAGTCTCAGGTTAAAGGAGACTAAAGAGACAAGAAAAAATGCAATGTGTGATTCTGGAGTGGAAAAACAAAAATTACTATAATAGATAATATTAGGACTTGGCAAAATTTGAATATAGATTGTATTGGATAATAGTATCACATCAATGTTAAATATTCTGAATTTTTGGTAATGGCAATGGGTTATATAAGAATATCCTTCTCCTTAAAAGATTTAGGGGAGCAGTCATGGCATCTGCAATTTACTCTCAAAAACAAAAGGAATGAGCCCTGGCCAAGTGGCTCAGGTGGCTGGAGCATCATCCATGCACCAAAAGGTTTCAGGCTCAATTCCCAGTTAGGGCTCAGACCTAGGTTGCAAGTTCCATCCCTGGTCAGGGCATGTACAGGAGGCAACTGATCAACAATTCTCTCCCATATTGAAGTTTCTCACTCTTCCTCTCTCAAATCAATAAAAGCATATCTTCTGGTGAGGATTAAAAAAAGAAAGAAGAATGAGTGTGTGTGTGCATGTGTATACTTCATGCCTTAAAAATACAATAAGCTGAAAGCAATTTAATGCTCCTTAAATGATTCCAGAGCAGGAGGAGTTTGGGCATCACCACTATAATATCTGATATAGTAATTCTGACTGTACAGGGGAGTGAACATGAAAGCCAAAGAGAGAGGTCAGTGCATTCTTGAAATGTGCTTGCTTTTTAAATTCTCTTATAAGCTACAGTTCTTGCCATTTGCCTCTTTGTCCCAGCAATCAAAGGCAGCGTCTCCCTATCTAGAGAGGAATGTTATGGCATGGGCTCCTGGTGGCTTCTCAATACTCCTCCACAGTGTGAGATTCACTGGTCCCTGGACGCTCACTGGGTTCAAACTGAGCTCCTTTCTCCACGGGGCTCTCCTTTTGCTAGCAGCTCCTCAGGCCACCAGCTCAAAGAGCTCCGACTCCATCCTCAACTTCTCCAATCTCTTTAATGCAATAAAGTGCTCAGTAAAGCGCCAAAGAGGAGCCGTTTAGGTGTCGCAGGCACGTACATAATCAGGAGGAGGGAATTGCCAGAGCAGAGCCTTTGGCTGTGGGGCAAGAATAGAGCAGGATGAATTGAGGAAAAGCCCCTTTCTCCGAGTGCATGTGGCATCAGCTAAGCCCGTGGTCGGCAAACTGCGGCTCGTGAGCCACATGCGGCTCTTTGGCCCCTTGAGTGTGGCTCTTTCACAAAACACCACGGCCTGGGTGAGTCTATTTTGGAGAAGTGGCATTCAAAGAAGTTTAAGTTTAAAAAATGTGGCTCTCAAGAAATTTCAACCGTTGTACTATTGGTATTTGACTCTGTTGACTAATGTGTTTGCCAACCACTGAGCTAGGCCAATGGAGACCAGGAAAGAAAAATGTCCCCAAAAAGCTAATCCAAATCTTAGGAGTTATTGGGGCAAAAGCTGCATATCCACCTCCTCTCTGGGCCATCCAAGTTCATGGGCACCAAAGAGGGGTCTATCAACACGTGTTTTGCCCCTTTTATCACCTAAATCTAAGATTTCAATGCAAAGTATGCATTTCAAGGACATTAGGGGGATCTGTGGCAGTGCCTGGAGGACTTTGGGCCTATAATGAATTAATGAATTACAAAGAAATACGAATACAGCATGTTCATTTGTGACCCTCCTAATATTGTCAGAATATAGAAGACATAGTGGTTTCTAGAAGGTGAGCATGCTCACTGTAACTACAAAACGTGCACAAGCAGAGGCTGGAGCAAGAAAGCAAAAAGCAAAGTGATGACATCTCTAAAACATCATGCTTCAGAGCAAAGAGAATGTGGGGACTCTTCTGCTTCCAGCTACGAAGGGCTGTGTGCATCTCAGTGTGAGGAAAGCTGCTAGTCTCCAGTTTGATGGAGGAGCTTCTAGTGAGACCACCGCATGGTCTGTGGAAAGGCAGGGTCTGAAAGGGTGGGTGAAACCGCATGGTGATGGAGAGGATCTGAAAGATGGCCCCCAAGTGCATTTCGCTTGGAGATTATTTCATAATAGACACCATCAGATCTTTATACCTGCCCACTATGCTTTATTCTCAGGCATCATCCAAATAAACCATGACCCTGTAATTATACAGATGTCTAACCAACACCTTCCCATTTTTACCCAGTTAGTCTAAGATTTATAACTTGAGTTGGGGGATCTAACAAGTAGTTACTGGCAGATTTTTGAATACTTGACTCATTTGGGCCACATGATCAAGACAAATGGAAAACCGAAAAGTCATCAGTAAAATATTGCTTCAACAACACAAAAGAGGTTTTTTTTTTTGCATCAAATTGTGACTGGCAATGAAAAGTGGATTTATTTTGAGAATCCCAAATGCACAAAATCATGGGTTGATCCAGGTCAACCATCAACATCAACTGCAAGGCCAAATTACTTGGGAAAGAAGACAATGCTCTGCATTTGGTGGGATCAGGAAGGTGTGGTATTATTAGCTTCTAAATCATTAATACTGATCACTACTGACAACCAATAATCCATTTTAACCACGCTTTGATTGTGAAATGACCAGAATGGGCCAGAAGACACGGCAAAGTAATTTTGCTTCATGATAATGTACCATCACACACTTCAAAACCAGTTAAAGATATGTTAAAAGATCTTGCCTGGGAAGTATTAGCCTACTGCTGTATTCACCAGACCTTGCTCCTTCAGATTACCACTTGTTTGATCAATGGCACATTCACTTTCTGAGTAGCACTTCAAAACATACGAAGAAGTGAAAAATTGGGTCTCTGAATGGTTTGCTTCAAAACAAGAAAAGTTCTATTGGGACGGTATCCACAAATTACCTGAAAGATGGGGGAAATGTGTAGCTAGCGATGGACATTACTTTGAATAAAGCACTTTTGATGTTTCTCTTAAAATTATCGTATTTTCTTTCATTACAAAGTCCGCATTATTAAGCGGTATACCTAGTAAATCCCCCATATCCCTTATAGACTGGAAGTTAAGCCTAAAGTCACGGTTGGATTCAAGCTTTAATTGGGGGAGAGGTGAGTGAGAATACCTCATAGGTGGTACTGTGTCCTTATGTCACATCAGAAAGTGTGGATGTCTGATTGTCTAATTTTGCTGATGCTAATCTACAGTGATTAAAAACATTTTCAGGCATTCAAAATGAAACCTATAAAACAAAGTATATTCAAAGATGTCTTTCCTCCATTCTTGCTCTTCTGATTCATCTCTCCCCTTCAAGATAACCAATTTTGAGTTTCCCCCCTCCCCCCATTGTTTCTTTTGGCAAATAGAAGAAAATACACACATACTTATCTTACAGAAAAGGTGGTATACAATACACTACATATTACATCCCATTTACCATATATACTACATGTGTACATTTGACACCTTGCTTTTTTCACCACACAATATAGCTGGATATCACACCCTATCAGTGTGTGGAAATCTCAGTCATTTCATTTTCAGCTGCTGAAGGTTCCCTTTTGTGACTATACTATATTTTGTTCAATTATCCTAATGTGATGGGTAAACTGGGTATTGTTAATATTCTATTATAAAAATGCTTAAATGAATCATCTTATGCATAAGTCATTTTGTGATTTTGCAAGTAGTATATACTTGGTAAAGACTCCCAGAAGTGGGATTGATGCTCAAAAAAATACCACATATGTAAATTTGCTAGTCATTCAAATGATGAAATCTGATACTAATTTACATTATTTATCTCATCAGAAAGAAGCCAACAAAACATATAACTGTGAAAATTTAGGTCTGAGAGAGATTCCTGACACTCTACCAAACACAACAGAATTTTTGGAATTCAGTTTTAACTTCTTGCCTGCAATTCAAAACACAACTTTCTGCAGACTCACAAATCTGATCTTTTTGGATTTAACCAGGTATGTATCTGCACCCCTGTGTGCACTGATGTTTTACTTAAGGAAAAGCACAACTTTTAGTCCAAGTGCATCCAGGACCTTTGGGGGCCACAGGACCATCAGCTTATCCTGTGTGTGTACCCTCTTCCATGAAATAGTTTTGCAGGTGAAATATAATTTTTTAAAAAATCAATGGAGTAGAAGTGGAATTGTTAAACTAGACTGGCTAGGTCATGCTGCTTCAGTTCTAAAAAATAATAATAATAAAACTGAAAACAAATTTTATAAATATAGCAGATCAGTTTTAATATTTTTTTCCTTCATTGGACTGCTGATTTTTACTATTTTCTTTAAATATGTAAAACATATTTGATATAAATAATGTATTACATTTTCTGATAATATATAATGCATTTTCTATATTCTTTATATATCATATATGTTATCAAATTCATGATAATTCTTATATTAGCTTTTTAAACCTAATTCTGTAGATTTTTAAATTATTATTATTATTATTATTATTATTATTATTATTTTGCTGACTTTGGCTACTGTGTGTCCCTTATGTGTTTATTGAATTTTTATTTTGAGCATATTTATCTTTTGGAAATATGTGTAAATCTTTGTTTAAAATGCTTTTCAGGAATTAGATAATACCAATGAATTATTAATATTGTTATATATGACAATAGCATTATGGCTATAGAAAATAAGCCTCAATTTTTTTTGCAGATTCCTATTCAAATATGTATGGGATAGCGAAGATTTGCTTTAAAACAATTCAGGAGATAGAGTTGGGACTAGATGAAGCAGAGAGCAAAATCTTGAGAATTATTGCATCTGTGTGATAGCTATATGAAGGTTTATTTTATTATTCTCTTTGCTTTTATGCAAATTTGAAAGTTTTCTTTATTAAAATTTAAGTACACTGATCTGGAAAAGTTTTCTATTTCCTTCTGCCAGTTACCTGAAGATACTGCCATCCTAGAACAACTTCAAACTCAATTTTCCTCTTGGGTTTCTTTGGGGAGGCCTACGGAGGTGGAATAAATTCATGCCACAATCCTCCTGAGTAGAAGCTTATGGTTAGGGAATCTCAGAGGAGTCTTTCCTTGTTATTGTTGTCCTTGTTCCATTCAGAGCCAAGGCCAAGACAAACACATATCCTGAGGTTTCCCTCTGTGAGCTTTCTTTTTTAAGGTCACCCACTAAAAGGATACCTTTTGAGGGTCATGGTTTTTGAGATGACCTCAAAAAGTGAGCAGGTTTTTGAGATGCCCTCCTACCTATCCCCAAGCTTTGTTTTCTGCCACTGACACATGTGGCTCATTAAAAGCCAGGTTCTAGGCTACTAGGGGCTTACAGATATTGGCAGATGTGACAAAGCTAGCTCTAGGGCTCACTTATTCCTATGGATTCAAGCTTCCTTCCCACAATTCATTTCTAAGGAATTCCCCTTGACCTTCAGGGAAGGTGTGTGGTATATGTGTGTGTACTTTCCATTATCATTAGGTTCAGTACTAGTAGGGGTGTCTTGTCAGCTCTAGCGTTGCATATTTCTGTGGAGTAGAAGTGCATTCACAACCTTTCTATAAAGTAATCATTATCTCTATGCTGTATAGATAAAAACAGAGGCTGAAAAAAGTAGTAACATGACCAGGATGACACCGATTCCTATGTAAATATCATTATTATGTATTATACATATAACATGCACACACACACATATCATATATATTATGCTTTATATATAACATTTTCTACTAAAATATTAAATAATAGTTTGATTTTTTTTTTTCAGCAAGCAAACCACTGAATTGTTCTCTAGATTCCAAACACAAGCTTCTTATAGTTTAACCTAAAGGGACAAGATATCTGGGGGGGGAATCAAATTAGTATGTTTAGAATTGAGGCTAGTCATTAATTCAAGAGGCCATCTGTAGTTACTGAAGAATGTTTTTTATATTTTACTTTGAATACTAACATACACTGTTCTTACTATACCCAAACCATAACTTTTTAAAGGTAGTTCACGGTGACAGAATTTATTCTCCTTTTTTCTAATTAGTTATTGTTAAATACTATTACCTTTTCAAGGTGCCAGATCAATTGGATCCATGAAGACACTTTTCAAAGTCATCACCAACTGGACACCCTTGTGCTGACCGGAAATCCTCTGATATTCATGGCCGAAACATCCCTCCTCGGGCCCAGGGCACTGAAGCACCTTTTCTTAATCCAAACGGGAATATCCAATCTTGAGTTTATCCCGGTGCACAATCTGGAAAATTTGGAAAGTCTGTATCTTGGAAGCAACTATATTTCCTCCATTAAGTTCCCAGAAAACTTCCCAACACAGAATCTGAAGGTTCTGGATTTTCAGAATAATGCTCTCCACTTCCTCTCTCGCGAAGACCTGAATGCTCTGGGGGCCACCAACCTCAGCCTCAACCTCGATAGCAATGACCTTAAAGGCATGGAGCCTGGGGCTTTCCATGCAAAAGCCTTCCGAAGTTTGCGGTTTGGAGGGATTCTCGACGTGCCTGTCATATTGAAAGGTCTGCAGAACTCTACTACTCAGTCTCTCTGGCTGGGGACATACTGGGACACTGAAAGCCAGGACCTTACTCCAGCCATGCTCGAGGGACTCTGTGAAATGTCTGTGGAGAGCATCAGCCTGCGGAGGTACCATTTCTCTGACTTGTCGGCTACCACCTTCCGGTGCTTCACAGGCCTCCGGGAATTGGACCTGACGGCAGCTCACTTGAAAGAGTTACCCTCTGGGATTCAGGGTATGAATTCTCTCCAGAAATTAGTTCTCAATGTAAATCATTTTGAGCAGTTGTGTCAAATCAATGCCGCCAGTTTCCCAGCCCTCACAGACCTCTCTATCAAAGGCAACCTGGAGGAACTTGACCTTGGTGCCGGGTGTTTGGAAAAACTAGAAAATCTCCGGAGACTCGACTTAAGCCGCAGTGGCATAAAGGCTTCTGACTGCTGCAATCTGCAGCTCAAAGGCCTGCACCGCTTGCAGCACCTCAACCTGAGCTACGCTGAGTCCATCGGTCTTCGGAGTCAGGCCTTCCAGGAGAGTCCTAAACTGGAAGTCCTGGATTTGGCGTTTATCCACCTGACGGTTAGAGTTCCGCAAAGTCCTTTCCAAAACCTCCCTCTCCTGCAGGCTCTGAATCTCTCCCACTGCCTCCTCGATGCCAGCAATCAGCACCTTCTGGAAGGCCTGAGGGGTCTCCGGCAACTGAATTTACAGGGAAACCACTTTCAAGATGGGAGCCTCTCCAAGACCAACCTTCTTCAGACGGTAGCCGGCTTGGAGGTTCTGATTTTATCCTCCTGTGAGCTTCTCTCTATAGACCCACAGGCCTTCCTCGGCCTTGGGAATGTGACTCACATAGACTTAAGCCACAACAGCCTGACAGAAAGCAGCGTCGATGCTCTGGGCCACCTGAAGGGGCTCTACCTCAATCTGGCCGCCAACAGCCTTCGCATCATCCCGCCCCGACTCCTCCCCATCCTGGCCCAGCAGAGCACCATTAACTTAAGTCACAATCCTCTGGACTGCACTTGCTCCAATGCCGGCTTCCTAACCTGGTTCAGAGAAAACCTGCACAGACTTGAGGACGCGGAGGAGACGGTGTGTGCGAACCCCCCATCCTTAAGGGGAGTCAAGCTGTCTGATGTCGACCTGTCCTGTGGGTTGACGGCCCTGGGCATTTTTTTTCTCGTGGTATTTTTATTCTTATTCACCATCCTGCTAATTTTTGCAGTTAAATTCCTTCTTAGGTGGAAATACCAGCACATTTAGTGCTGGAGCTTTCTAGGGATGGCAAATAAATGTGTTTAGCCAAATTGCCCCAAATAGGGGGACTGTTGTCTATTAGGGACCAGACTTGACAGATTGGTCCCTGGTGCTGGGCAGGGATTTTCTGTGCTTTTCTGAGCCCCGGGACTAAGGACACTCCCTAGAAAATAAAGGAGGGACAAATGCAGCTGTGAGAAACACCCAGCCATCTCCTCATGTGGAAGTGGGTGGAAGTAGAGGGAGGACCTGGGGCAGGGCAAGGCCCAACCAGTTCACCCACGAGGAGGCCATCTCCCTTCCACTCCTGGACACCCTTCAAAGCACATCCCACCTTGACCCTAAAGGGAGACCACCAAGGCCCACAGCCTGGCAGCTCTGAGGACCTCAACTCCCGACTCTCTCTTGCACAAATGAGGCCCTGCGTTTGGGTCTGAGTTCCCAGTAATGTAGCTGTTTGGGGAATTTGTTGTGGATAAAGTCTTAATGTTCGTTTTAAATGAAAAAAAAAGGGAAAACAATGAATTTGGAAGAAGAGGCTGAGAACTTAATCTTACCGTCAAATGGACTCCATTCATCTCCCTAACCCTTAGGTGTCTGCAGTGTCTACTAATGCCACTAGAATGCACATAGCTACAAAAGAAAACAAATGACAGCCTCCCCCCAGTTCCTCCCTTCCCCAGGGCGTAGGATTTTCGCTGTAGTGGCCAGCTCACCTGAGGACCCGGCGAGCCCCTGCAGCCAGCCCGGTGTTCTCACTGTTTGGTTCCAGAGCCCAGATCCCAGGTGGGTTGTGGTACAAGTGCCTTCTCATTTGGAGGCCGGTCCTTCAAAGCCTCTTTCCCACAGGAACCCTGAGATAAATGGGGGTTTGGCTCCCAGGCCAGCTCTCCAACGCCGATTCTCCTGGGACAGCAATGGAGATAGCACATTTACAATGAACACCAGTGGGAGAAAGCAGCTCCGTACACCAGCTGTCTCTCCAGAGCACAATAAGCTGGCTCCGTGAGTAGTTTCTGTTGCGGCTGGAGTGTCAGTAAAGATAGTGCCAGCGACACAGAGGGGACAGGACCACTGAATATGACAGGGAAAGAGGACAGGGATGCTCCAGTGTGCTGACTTGGGCCTCCACAAAGCCCAAAGAGTCACCCTCCTGCAGGGCTTGCTCTCTGATCTCGGCACTGATGGACAGGGAAGCTCTTGTACTCCGGTGCTGTATTTACTGGGCCTTGATTCAGTTCTATAACCAGCTGTAGGTTTGCAATGGTAGCTTATAGTTATGAATTCTGAGTGGGTATCAAGGGAAAATTTGAGTAATATCTAATCCGAATTGTTTGGCCCTTAGGCTGAGGGCATAATGGTGAGACAGAATAACAGAGTGGGAACTTGGGAACAAACTCCTTTTCACTTGTATATGCCCAGAAAAAGCAGGACATACAAGGGAGTAGTGAGGCAAAGTCACAGATCTTCACTGAAAAGGCTCAGTAGTCTTAGGGGGATAGTTTATACTAGATAGGAGACCAATTTTCCCACTGGCTCTTGGTTAGGAACACAAGGCAGGTGTTATCTCCATTGCTGTCCCAGGTAAGATGAGTGAGGCCTCTGCCTGGGAGGCAAATTTTAAGGGAGAACCATATTATTTACTATGAATAGCCACGATCTGGAAACAGCCCAACTGCCCATCAGTAGATGAGTTGATAAAATGCTGTGGTACATTTATACTATGGAATACTGGGTGGCTGTAAAAAAAAAAAAAAAAAGAAGGCTCTCTTTTGCAACAGCCTTGGACAAACCTATGTATTATTATGCTAATTGAAACAAGCTAGTCAGAGAAAGACAAGTACCATATGATCTCACTTATTTGTGCAGCCTAATGAATAAAATAAACTGATGAACAAAATAGAAACAGAGACATGGATACATGGAACAGCCTGATGCTGTCAGAGGGGACAGGGAGAGGGGGACTAGATGAAGGAAGGTGAAGGGATTAGCCAAACAACATATATGCATAACCCACAGACTCAGACAACAGTGTAGTGAGAGCCAGAGGGAAGGGGGCTGGGGGCAGAATGGAACAGGCAAAGGGGCCAGAAATGGGGACATCTAATAAAGGAAAAAAAAAAATTAAGGGAGAACCAAAAACCTCAATGAGCAAGACAAAAATATTAGTACAATATTTTAAAAACTTTAAGTTAATGCAAAAAGAAAAAATTGATAGCAAAACACTAAAATTTTAAAAAAAGCCCTGGCCTGATAACTCAGTTGTTTAGAGCTTTGTCCTGATACACAAAGTTGCAGGTTCAGTCCCCAGTCAGGGCACATACAAGAATCCACCAATGAATGCATAAATAAGTGGAATAACAAACCAATGCTTCTCTCTCCCTGCCTCTCTCTAAAAAAAAAAAAAAAAAAAAAAAAAAAAAAAAAAAAAAAAAAAGTCAAAAAAGAAAAGTTTAAACAAAGACAGAATTCATAACAGTGCCAGGATGAACCATGAAGAGAAAAGGGAAAAATTAGTAATATCAGTCTTGCCTTTTTGTTCACTGTGGATGCTTTGCCTTAGTTTTTATTTTGTTAATGTTGCATTAAAACATCATTTATCTTCATTACTGAGTTTTCGGTGCCCCCTTAAACTTTGTGCCTAAGGTGGGTGCCTCACTCACCTCCCCGCTCCTGCCCTGAGGATCGGTGAGACGTGGGATTCCCTGAGAACCAGGCTACAGTTTCCAGAGGCCCTAACAGCTGGCACCCTCTCTCCGTGTTACCCCAAAGCGTGTGCATCTCCGACCCCTTTACATCCTGCAAGCAGAGAGAAGTGTCCAAGATCTCCCATCACGTCCCTCCATCCTTAGCTAACTTCCACTGACTCCTGAGTTCAAAGCATTGTTCCTTCAGAACCAGGTCAGGTGCAGAGACACATGGTGCCACACCCTCTGAGCCCCAGGTGCCAGGGCCTGGAGGGTGGGCAAGCACAGCATCCTCTGCTAATGAAGCGAGTCATCACACAATTAACCGCTTTAATGACCTTGAATGCCAGCATTTGGGAGAACAGGTGTCTGAGAGGGGAGGCTTCCTCAGCTTCCCGAGGAGGCGTTTGAGAGGCAGTTACTCAAGGACCCGCGTCAGAGGAAAACGTGCCTGGAGATATGAGGACATACCCCTGAGCCGCTTTTATTTCTTCAGGGGCCTATGACGGTGGGGCATCCTTCTGAGAAGGCCGATCGGAGCCACTTCTGGGTTGGTATGGTTCTTGAGTCCGGCAGCCACTGAAGCAGTTTGTCATTGAGTTTCGGGCTCAGAAGGGAGATGATGGACATGAGGGTGGCTGCCTGGGCCAGGCTCTAGGTGTGCAGAGCCCAGCAGCTGCCACAGGGAAGGTCTCTTCTCCTGGGCGCTGAGATGGCACTGGTCTAGAAAGGTCAGGCCTCTCCCTCTCCAAAGTGGGAGAGAGCCCCCTGAGAGCCATGCCCACTCCAGCTGCCACTCTTCCCCCCCCCCTTTTTAAATATATTTTATTGACATTTTACAGAGAGGAAGGGAGAGGCATAGAGAGCTAGAAAGATCAATGAGAGAGAAACATTGATCAGCCACCTCTTGCACACCTCCTACTGGGGATGTGCCCACAACCAAGGTGCATGCCCTTGACCGGAATCGAACCCGGGACCCTTCAGTCCACAGACCAGCGCTCTATCCACTGAGCCAAACTAGTTAGGGGTCCAGCTGCCACTCTTGTGCAGGAGCCATTCACCCTGGAGAATCTAGGCAGGCATGTGGTACAACTCAGAGCTGTTTTGTTGTATTGATCATGTTCATTTGCCTGTAAGATGAGGAGCTCTGGAAACTTTGGGAAATATTTATGATGGTCACTGGTAGCTCCCTCTCTCTCTTTTCATTGTTTCTCTTCCCCTCCTTCCTTCCTATTTTCCTTCTCTCCCGCTGTGCTTCCCTCCTTTATTGTTTCCTTCTTTCCATCGTAGACTACAGAAGTCCACACGTTAGGAATCCAGTCTAAGATAGAGCTCCCTGTGTTCTCCAGCAAATGTAAGCTCTTCCCTCTTCAAGGCTGTAAGCAGCAGCCAGGACATACTAATGGCTGACCTACTGCACCATAGCCCACTGTCACACACGATATGTGATGTGTAACTTGGGAAAACCAAAGCATCCTATAGACTATCTCTAAGGGGAACTGCATCACTCTAAGTCTAAGGACTAAAGGGCCCCAAGCCCTAGCAAACGCCCCTGCCCATCCTGCTTGCGTTTACCAGGCACTGGCCCTCCATGCGGTGGAACTTGCTGCTCCGTCACTGCACTGCTCCGAGGCTCCGTGCACTCTGCTTTAAGTAACAGTAAATTCACCTGACAAAGTCAGGAAGGGAGCTTCTTGATGGCTGCTGTCAGTTTTATTGCTTTATCCTGGTTACTGAATAGAATCTGTAGACACGGCGTGTTTATTGGTTTTATGTATCACGTGTTGTTGCTGCTCTGACAAGGCAATCCTATAAAAATGTGTTATTATTGCATGTTGTAGCTCAGTGAGCTGACCCTGCATTTCAAAGTGCACTGAAGCAAATAGCATTGAAGTCTATAAAAACTGACTAGTCTCCATCGCTGAGGACCCTGAGTGGGCTTTGACTCCCACAATCTGGGCACAAATTTCCCCCAGCCAAGCCGGCAGCCATCGCTGCTACCTGGACACAGCACCAACCCAACACAGGCATTACCTGTGACATTTCAGCACAGAAAATGTTGCTTCATTCCTTCTGATCCAATTTTCCCATAAGTGCTGTTTCCAATTTTCAAATTTTCAAAAGTATGCAATAAATGACTTTTTAATGTTTTATATGTTGGTACACAATGTGGGAGGGGAGCTGATGCTGTTTTCCATCTACTCTGAATGCTGAAGAGAAAATTAACTTGAATTATATCAAGAGAAGATGTGATTAGTTGTAAGCAAGACATGGCTGGGGCTGCTGGATGTCAACTGGAATCAAGTGCCAATGCCTTCAGAGTTAGATTGTCTAACAGTAGGCTGCAGAGGAATGGGCCAGCAGAGGGGCTCCCAGATAACGATTTATCACTGGAATCACCTGGTGGGTCTTTATAAGACAGATTCCCATCCCCACCCTAGATTTTAGGATTCCTTTAAATTGGGTGGGCCAGGGACTCTCAGCCTAATGAGTTCATGTAATATCTTTCCCTAATCTTAATTTGATAAAAAAAGAAATAGCAGAAGCATGTGTTAGGCTTCCCTGAGTCACAAGAGCAGAAGAAGAGCTGCATTCACTAAGAGGAAATGTCCCAACAAAAGGGAAAGAGGACTGAGAAGCCTTGGAACCCAATGGTGAGACATACTGGGCAGGTGGCTTGCTTGTCTCCTGGGCCTCACTGCCAGGCCACAGGCTCTGATCCTGAACTGGCTGCTCTTCCAGCCACTCCCACTTCGGCCCAGCTGGTCCCAATTGTAAATGATATATTAAATACTGTGGGTCTTGAAAAAGGGGAGAACTCATCTACAGATCATTTTCAAAAGCCATCATTTCCCATTTAAGATTCAATAGTGCACTTCATTGACTATCCTCCTGTGATTTCCCCTATCTTTAGGTAATATTCTTTAAGCATTTGACTGTTCAAGACATACGAGATCCT